GTGTGAAAATCAACTTGCAGTGACATGAAATCTGATTGAGATCACAGAAAACATTTGGTTGCTTTACTAGTTTTAATGTTGCTGAAAACATTGATTGTACAGCTAGGCAATGTAGCTATACAGTGCCTAGTGAAAGTATTAAACCACCTCTATGTTTTGTTCCATTACAACCTGGAATTAAAATGGATATTTATTTGGATCTTATGTAATAGACCTAACAAAATACTCCAAATTGTTGAAGCAGAATGAAAAAAAAAAAATGAATAAAAACTGTAAAGTTGTGCTGAGTTGAGTGCTTATGTTTTAACCCACTTTGCTATGAAACCCCCTCGTCCAACCAATTCACTTCAGAAGTCACTAAGTATAATTAGTTGATGAAGTTCGCCAAACAGCAGTTGGTAGACTCCTAAAACACACAGAAGAAGCTTCTCTGGTCAGATGAGAATAAAACTGAATTTTCTGGCCATCATGCGAAATGCTATAAGTGGTGCAAATACAACACTTCCCATTACCCCGAGAACACCATTCCCACAGTGAACAAAGTCAACATATGGCTAAAGCTAGACTGGAGTGGTTTAAAGGCCTATCAAAGCCCAGACCTCAGTCCAACTGAGAATGTGTGGCATATGTTGAAGATTGTTGTAGACTAACACATCCCATATAACTTGAAGGAGCTGGAGAAGCTTCACCCTGAAATATGGACAAAAATTCCAGTGGCTAAATGTGCTAAGCTAATAGATACCAAATCCAAGAGACTTGCAGCTGTAACTGTAGTAAAAAAGTGGCTCTACAAAGTATTGATTTTGAGGGATGAATACTTATGCACACTCAAGATTTCTGTTTTTTTTTTTGTTTTTTTTCATAATCATTATCTATGTCACAAAAAAAATTATTAGCACCTTAAATCAAATGGTACACCCCCGCGCCCCTCCCAAAAAAAAATCAATTTTAATTCCAGGTTGAAATGCAACAAAAAAGTAAAAACACCAAGGGAGGTGAATACTTTCACAAGGCACTGTATATATTTCATTGTGGTAGAAAATATCATCTGGAATTTTGGATACTGAAACAGAGTGATATAGCGTAAATGTTATCTTTTCATGGTCTTAAATGCTACGTTACAGTTCAGTTAATGCAGCAAATTTTCTTTTCTGAAGTATTTCTTGAAATATATTCAGAAAATAGGCCTAAATGAAAATCATCAACATATGCGAAATGCTAAATATTGTCACATTATATCAAAGTTTGGAGTTTGGAGTTTGTTCGAAGTATTCTTATTTTTGACTTTGTCAATATTGCCCAGTCTTAGCTGACTGTTTTATGCATCTGCCTGTAACTCTAATGCTGTTGGGCAACTCAAATCTTAGATGTTCTTCTTAGACAGTACCGTAGCTGCTTAGAGGTCATGGCATAAATTGAGAAGTTAGTATGGTAAAGCACTGGCTTGGTCCTGCTATGACTGCACTTTGTTGGGTATGATTCCTGTGTGGCAGCTTGTTGTCTGGGCAAATGTGTAATAAAATGGAGCTGTTGAACCCCCGTATATCAGTAATACAAGGAAGTAATCTGCACATGTCTAATCATACACACACAAACACAGTGTGAGCTTCTACGCAGGTAAATACGTACTGTTTATTAAAGGCTAACCCTCTGAAACGGACAGAATGTGAATTAACAGCATCCTTGGAGAGGCTGACAAGTGCTACATTCCTAACATCCTATTACCGAGCGTACCCTGCCGCCACACTGCCGCTGGGTCACTGGAGTTATGCACACACAATCACAAATTCACACACTCGCATACAAACACACATATAAAGCCAATGGAACACATACAAACACATGAAAGATGCACACAGAAACACCAATCTGGACATGTGGGATTGTCACCTTCCGGCCTGACATTCCTGCCTCAGTGTGCCAGAGAGGGCTGCAGTTAGAAGGGCACTATGGGTGGCAGCAGATGGAGGGAAAGAGATGTGGAGGGTGGACGGAGGGCAGAATCACAAATTTGGCATGTCACATGGTCAAACAGGGAAGATTTACGACTGATCAGGTTCCACATCGGCAGCATGGTGTTGTGGCTTCAGAATGCCAGGTATGGGAGTGAGATCAGACTCCGGCTTTAGTTTGTACACCCTTTCTGGCAACTGCAGCCAGTGTGACTGGCTGAAGATGGCAGTGTTATGGGTGGTTGGCGTGGGGAACGTGGTCATTGTCTGGCCTTTCACATCCTTGCGGCTGTATAGATTTACATACCTCTGAAAAATCAGCCGTAACAAAATCGGTGGGAATGTGAATCTGATACAGATTTGGAGTGAAATCTAGAAGACAAGAAGCAATGTGAAATTAGTTTAACCAATAAAAGAGAAATGCAGACGGGCAAGGAGAATCACGAAACTGAAAATACCGATCCTCTTTTATTTCTCTCATTTTATTTCTCCCTCTACAGTCAGGAGCTATGATTTACTCACCGGTGACATCATGGAGACCACAGCTATTTTTATTGGATGGTAAACGGCCAGCTCTTCTCCATGCTATGCCACCTGTCCAATCCACACCAGTCAACAAGCCCCTGGGAAAAAAAGTCAAGCACCCAAAAATGATTGAGAGTTGAAAGGCGGAATATGATACATGCATGCCATGCTACTGTCCTAGGCATGTTTCACAAGTCAAATGTCTTGTCACTGCTACTGGTTTGCTTTCCCTATTTATCTGTGTTATTCATTACAGCCAACAGTGTAACCTACAATTCAGCAGTCACACACATGGTGCAATGTCTCCTTCCATTGCTCTTTTACCATCACTCAGCATGCTTTAAAAAAGAAAAAAGATTTTGCACATGAATTTGAAATAAAATGCTTCTGTTTTGAGGACGCCTTGCAATCTATGCTACATTCTGCTCCCTTGCCCCCCCCCCCTCCCCCTTACACACACACACACACACACACGTTTTGATGCGTGTGTGTGACTCCAAGGGTGGGGTTATTCCTGGCCCTGTGTCGTGTGCTCTAAGGTGCAGTTTAGTCACATGCCATCTGACCAACCCTTAGCCCTGAAAAATGATAAGTACAGTAGCCGTGGGGGGGGGGGGGCATCATATAACCACACTGCCCTGAAAGATGTCAACTCATAGCAATCAACTGGTAATTGAGGTAAAGAATAACTACATAATAACATATGAGATCGTTAAAGAACACATTGAAATGTATGAAAATTTCAAGTGTAGATTGATGGTAAAATTCTTAGATAAAAAAGAAGCTATCAAAAGATTGTTGTTGTGCATTGTTGTCTGCTTACAGAACCACACAAAGATCTTGAGATCAAAAATAAATGAGACTCAGAGAGTCTAATGTATTCTATTTCGATATTTGTAAAGGTTTTTCTAATTAGTTTCAGAATCGCCAGAGACACCAGCAAGAGTGCTTCAAAAATGAATAGCCAGTAAACCAAAATGTAACACACATGAAAGGATCTGCTGAAGAAGTGTCTTTTATGTGTATGTGCCTTTTAGTGTGATTCATAGGAAGAGAAACAGAGGACTAGTCCTGAATGGTGATGTACAATAATTGCACACCACACAGCAGTACTCTTGACATTACTGCCTTACTTAAATCAGAAATTCATGAAAGTGACTGGGAGTCCACCTTGTGGCAGGGGCAGGAAATTGCAATTAATGCTCTTTATTTCAGTGCATTCCTGAAAGCTGTGCTGGTTTATTCTGTGAAACAACGCTAGTGGGTGATAAAGGTTAAAAGAGGAAACATATACTAATAGAACCTAAATGCTGTCACCAAAAATGGCAGTTTTTTTGTCCAGTTCTAAATGTCTTTGCATCATATTATTCATTCTTTTCAGCTCCTTAAGATATAGTGAACTATGAATCCCACAAGGGTTTGTTCACTCTTGTGATTTGTGATGCCTCATTGATGCAAGAGCGCCAGCAAAAAAAACAAAAAAAAAACTGGAAAGGATGGAAGATGTGATTGTGTTTGCAAACAACATTAGATTACCCTTTCTTGTTAACAGTATTATTTCACAACCGTGAGGCTGATTATGTAACAATAGATATTAATCTAGACTCTCTCTAAGTACATTTACTCAAGTGCTGCACTTAAGTACAATTCTCTACTCCACATAGTTTTCAGAGGAAATTTTATTTATAAAATGCATATGCATTATTCTGAAATGGATCATTCTGCATAATAAGCACTTTTACTTTTAGTACTATAATGTAATGCTCATACTTATCTTCTTTTATAAAATAATATTTTGAATACATGTCTTTTAGCTATTTGCAACATATTTCTACACTGGCATCACTAAAAGATCTGAGTAGCTATTCTTCCACCCCTGGTAGCCAGTTAAGAAGCTGATCACAATCACAAACTCTAATTTAATCCTTTGTGAACAGCAGTTCTGTGTTAAAATTGAGTAGAATGCTATTCTCCATTCAAAACATAAAATCTCTACTTAACAGGCATAACTGAAGTGTACTGATTAGAGGCAGGTTATTTGAGAGGAAATAGGCCTACCAATTTAAGAATAGAACCTGTATCAAACCTGTATCTTGTAAATATGTAAGTAATCTAAATGATCTACATGACTGAGAGAATTAAATGAAGAAATATGTAGTCTGTTTTTGTATTCATAAATTACCCCGTGATCCCACAATTGTATTGCGACCCAAAGTGGGTTTGAGAACCGCAGATCTGTTATAAGATGCCAAGTTTAACAAAAGCCCATGACAAACATATGACTAACTATTTAATTATGTATTGGTTCATTTAGACTACGTATTTCACACATTTCATCAATTTTATTTATTAATTTTCTATTTAACAATTAATCCTTTGGGATCCATATAACCGTGCTGAGTGGATATGACTGATAGTGGGTTATGCCTGGCTCCTCCGCGCCACTTGGGGGCGCGTGTCCGCTGTAAATAAATGCCATCGTGGGTTGACGAGGCCGCCCAGCCATGTTGAGGAGTCTGTCAAGCAAACTGCAGCCCGCCATTGTGTAGAAACCAGGCTCTGTAGAGAGATAGGGGCGCTTGGCTGAAACTCTTCAATAGCTAGACAAATTCTACACCCTGCCGCTTTTATTTAGGAGTAAATACAGTTACACAGGCGCCGGGGGGGAAAGACATGTCAGCCAGCAGCCTTCTTGAACAGGTAAAGAGAGGTATTTTCTGAACATTTACGAGGGCCAAATTTCTCACCATCGCGACGGCTAGCGAGGATAGCTTAGCTCAGAGGCAGCGGCTGTGGCTCAGTAGTGCAGTAGGCCTGACCACCTGCTAAAGGAACTGACTGCTGAAAATATATCTCTTCATCTATTTTTTTCCCCTTCCTCTCTTCTCATAAATCAAACCTTCATGAATCACCTGGACCCAATCCAGAGACCGAAAGGCCAAGCTAATAAAGGTAAGACCAAATATTGTCTTGCATTATCGACTCAGGTTGAGTGAATGCGGATCTTTTTACGTGAGGTGCGCTTTGAAAATCTTGCGTGCGCGGATGCGATAGCTTGTCTCCTAGCGTCTTGGCAAAAAGGCCTGTCTGTGTAAGTTGTAAAGATTTTTGCACTTAATTTGCCACTTCATTAAAACACAAAACGACATGGTGTTTCATAAAAGCGTTCTCAGACCTTAACTTATCATTCGTGAGTTTCCTTTACTTCCCAGAAATGACACTTGTAAGGTTCCCACAGTTAGCATTAGCCATCTCTTGACAAGCTAACAACGTTAAATGGCAACATGACACATATCAGCATCATTTTCCTGGTTGTACTTGCAACGCTTTTTATTGCACTGGCAGGTGCGAGAATACACTCTAATTAGCCAGTCTTTCAAGATATTAGTTAGTGTTCAATTTTTTTGCAGTGTTAAGCTACAGGTGCCATCCAAGCACGCTGACCACTCGGCTAACGTTAGCCAGGTCCGTCATGTTGAAAGGACTGTTGGCGCTCGTTAACATGGAGACGCTGCGCACTGCACGCAGCTAACCACATAGCTAACGTGCTAACATTAGCTGGTTGCTAAGTTAACCCAAAATGACACGTCTTCCGACATGCTTTTCCTGTGTCCAAATGGGCCTCACACGTTCCCGTCATCATGCTGCTCAGACTGTACCGTTGGATAACACGAATTTACAAACCCGTGTGTATTTTAATCTAACTTTTCGAAGTCCTGAAATCCTCTCAAAGAATCCCATGTCATCCAACACATCACCGCCTGCTATAGCAGAGAACACTTCCAAAGTTGTGAAAACAAACCATGGGCCACAGGTCCTTCTGCGTTTAACATGCATTGAATATGCTGTGGAAGGATCACTAATGGTTTAACATATCCTGAATTAAATCTGTTTGTTGATTCCATCAACAAACAGATTTGGAATTGTTGAAGGTTTGCAATTAATTCTTCAAAGTGCCGATTCATCTGTGTTTCTTCATCATTGTGCAAGTTTATGCTGTGTAATGTGAAGAATATTGAGCAGTTACAATATGAGATGTCATATTTCAGTGGCTTTTCCTGTGAGACTCATAAATAATTGCAGGGAGTGGTTTTGTTATGTAACAAGTGGCTATGATGCTGATGTGAAATGACTACATAATGTAATGTATCTCACCACTTACATCTCTGGAGTTACAAACTTGTGCATTTTGTTAACATCAGTGTTGCTTTCTTTTCAGTGCAAAACGGAGCTGTGACCCAAAAGGATACTTTGAATGACGATGAGTTTGAGCCTTACCTGAATACTCAGGCCAGACAGGTAAGCTTTTTGACAGGTGTTTGCCCACAGGTGCTTTTCATGACTCAAGTATCCTCCAGTTGGGTTTTGTTTTTGGTTTAATCCTAACTAAGTCATGAGTGACCAATGATTGTGGTGGAGTTGATAGATAAAATCAGCAGGTTTAATCTGGATGACAGTAGATGACTTTTTATGTGAACAGTATGATAATTGCAGATTTTTGTAGTCATTGATAGTAAATGTTTATTTAAAAGAGGGAAAAAAAGGTGGCATAGTCGCTTGGGTCAGTTTATAAATGCTTTGATTGACTGCTGATCTTGAAGTTTGCATCCATAATATGGACACTATACATGTTACCTTGGACACACAATGAAGTTTTGGATATTATATTTGAGTTGTTGGATCATCCAGGCTTCATGTAAACTGAATATGGTGTAAATGAAGTACATCACCAACTATTTGAGCATCCCTGACGTAAAATCAATGTGTGTGAAGAGGCACAGAGTCGAAACCTACATAGACTTGTTGACTGCTTTCAGAACTTCTCTTCCTCTATGAATTTCAAACATTCAGTTGGTTCATCAGTTGATTTCTCTTAAGATATTGGTTGATGTAATTTCTTTGTATCAACTTCAGGAAATTTCTCTTATCAGAAGATTAATATACACACTTGTAGACTAAGTTGTTTAATTGGCCTTGAGACCAAGTTATGTGTGTGCACATCCTTGATATTTGCATGAATAAGGAGTATGAGAAGGCCATAAGCATTTGCAGCTGCATTGGGAAAGTTCATTTATCTGGCCTTGGATTTTATTTCTTTGCACTGTGGTAGCGGGAGTTCCCCATGTGTAGTAACAGAGGCACTGCCTGTTAAGTGGGCTGTAGAGGAAAAGAATGGAGCCTGTATTTTCCTCCACTCAAAAGAATGCACCATCTTTTTGTCCAAGAGACTATAAATAAGCAAAAAGTAACATAGTTCAGTGCTGTGCATTTACAGATGAGATAGGAGGAGAGGAGGAGGGATACCTGTTATAGTTCTTATACGTACTTCATTATTGTGTGGTGAATCTTTGGTATAATAACAATAATTCAATAATTTTGCTCATCTTTTATCTTGGTCTGACTTTTTGGATCTACAAGAACAAGGTATACACATATCAAACAGAAGCTTATGTTAAGAATTAATGTTACTAGTAATGTTTGTTGTTGCAAGGAAATGTTTGCTCTTTTAACATCTTGTCACTAAAACTAAATCTTTTTCTATTTAGAGCAATGCCTATACGGCCATGTCGGACTCGTACATGCCCAGCTACTACAGCCCCTCCATAGGATTTTCCTACTCCCTAAATGAGGCAGCATGGTCCACGGGTGGGGACCCTCCTATGCCTTACCTGGCCTCCTATGGACAGCTGAGCAATGGGGAGCCCCACTACCTCCCGGACGCTATGTTTGGCCAGCCTGGCCCCCTGGGGAGCAACCCTTTCCTGGGCCAGCACGGCTTCAACTTCTTCCCTAGTGGTATCGACTTCTCGGCTTGGGGCAATAGCAGCTCTCAGGGACAGTCGGGGACACCACAGAGCTCTGGCTACAGCAGCAGCTATGCCTATGCTCCCAGCTCCCTTGGGGGTGCAATGATCGATGGACAGTCCCCATTTGCACCTGCTGCCAATGAGCCACTCAACAAGGCACCTGGTATGAACAGCCTTGACCAAGGCATGGCAGGGCTTAAGATCAGCGGTGCTGCTCCCGGTGGTAATGGGGACATGGCTCCTAAGGTGGTTGGCTCTGGCTTGCCTGGTGGGGGTCCCCTTGGCCCTGTATCATCTGTAGGACCTCCCAGCATGCCTCCTGTCTCAATTGCCCCTGCCAAGCCCGCCTCCTGGGCCGACATTGCCAGCAAGCCAGCCAAGCCTCAACCCAAGCTGAAAACCAAGGGTGGCATGGCCGGTGCCAATTTGCCTCCTCCGCCCATTAAACACAACATGGACATCGGCACTTGGGACAACAAGGGTACCATGCCTAAAGCTGCCACCCCTCAGCAGGTGCCCCCTATTCCCAGCAATGGGCAGCCGCCCAATCAGGCCTCCCCACAGCCTGGAGCTACTGCTGCAGGGAACCCACAAATGCCCCTCAGCAATGGACAGCTGGTACCGCCCGTTTCCCAGATGGGGCAGCATCAGCTTCCTCCCAGTGGGCAGCCAGGTATGGCTCCAATGCCCCAGCCTCCCCTCTCCCAGGGTCCTCCTCCTCCCCAAAGCCAACAGCAGCAACCTTCTCAGCCTACTCGTTGGGTCCCTCCACGGAACCGGGCTAATGGTTTTGGGGATGCCAGTGGGAGTGGTACAGGCCAGTCGCCTCCTACCTCTTCTGGTGTGGGTGTTGTTCCCGGGGTCCCCTCTGAGCCTCACCCAGTCTTAGAGAAGTTGCGAATGGTCAACAATTATAACCCCAAGGACTTTGACTGGAATCCCAAGCAGGGGCGGGTGTTTATCATCAAGAGCTACTCCGAGGATGACATCCACCGCTCCATCAAGTACAACATCTGGTGCAGCACGGAGCATGGCAACAAGAGGCTTGACACGGCCTATCGTTCATTGGGTGGCAAAGGGCCACTTTACCTTCTGTTCAGTGTCAATGGGAGTGGTCACTTCTGTGGTGTAGCAGAGATGCGCTCACCCGTGGACTACAACACGTCTGCAGGCGTGTGGTCACAGGACAAGTGGAAGGGTCGTTTTGATGTGCGCTGGATCTTTGTGAAGGACGTTCCCAACAGTCAGCTGAGGCACATTCGACTCGAGAACAACGAAAACAAGCCAGTGACCAACTCTCGGGACACACAGGAGGTACCACTGGACAAGGCCAGGCAGGTGCTAAAGATCATCGCTGGATATAAGCACACCACTTCAATCTTCGATGACTTTTCTCACTACGAGAAGCGTCAGGAGGAGGAAGAGTGTGTGAAAAAGGTAACCTAGTTACTGTTGAATGAGGTGATAAAATAGATAAATGAAAAAAAGTGCTTGGCTTTAACTTATATTGTAAAAGGTGCAATCTATGAAGCCAGTATGGATGTGTGTGTGCATGTACAACATTGCTTTTTGCATTACAAAGGGATAGAGAAACAACTCAAGGATTTACAGCTGGATTTAGATCTTTGTCAGAATTCAATGTGATTGTACATAGTAGGATATTTGGTGATTTTTGTTTCTCTAGAGTTTTTCACTGTGGTGTTATGTTTTCTGTCTGTTATCACTAATGTGTAATGCCCTGCTTTAAGATAGAATACCATATACAGAAGAATGAACACGAGAAATAATTTTACTTGGTGATATTCAGACAAATTACACTTATATTATAAAATGGTAACAGAGTGGATTACATGATAACACATTGAATTGATTGGTTTGTATTGCGGTTATGGTCATGTCCGGTGGTATCTGTTCCTATCTACAACATATACTCAGTGTCGCAACCTCCTGAAGCTATGTGAACTGTTTTTGTTTTTTTTCAATCCCCTATGTCTTAACACTCATTTTGGTATTAGGTGAAATATGTTTAGCTTATTTTGTGTTGAACTCATCAACATAAGGAACAAAAATAGAAGAGCAAATGTGTATTGTGGCTCATAAAATGAATACTTGTTTGCATTTCTTATTTAATTTTGGAAAAGGGTACTGTTTAATACTGAGGCTTTGGTGTCTTGCACAGTTGTAGTACACATTTTGTAACCTTTTTATCTTACAGAGCGACAAATTAAGGGAAAATTATATAAAAATAACACAGGAGCTTGTTAACTTTTAGTAAATTGACGTTATTGGCCTGCTTGCTATTAGATATAGAAAAGCTTGTTTTATTCTGTGGATATAAACATTTATCTTCCACTGTGTTGTGACTTTAGTTGGTTCATGCCGAGAACTGTTTTAGTTGACTCTTTATATGTACCTCACTCTATACTTAAGGTGTAGGAAAAAGTAATGGCTATTTTAAAAAAGCATACTGTACTTACATTTATTACAGATTTTGTTGGGAACATTGGCTTTACTGCCTGCTTTCTCACATTTTACAGCAAACAAGCAAGGTATCTATACTAAAAAGTGTACAAAATGTAACGGCAGCAGTCATTCACATTTTTTTGTTATTTTGCAGTTGTATGACTCAGTGTTTTCAAGTATTCATTAAGAAATATTAAATACTGTGATTTGTGTTAAAAGACAATGTTAATGACAACAGTAAAACTATTTGTTGCATAGTGATGGACATAATGGATGAGTTCTGTCGGTATATGAAACTTCAAATAGCTTAATTTTTTTTTATCCAGGACAATTATTGTTAATTCAAGTTGTACATGATAGTTGTAGATTGATAATTTGTTGATGTGGAATGTCAAAGTTAGGTCTAGAGAAATTTGGTTGTTCCTAAATATAATGCCTGTGTGATGTCTGTAGGCAGAATTGTAATCTATATTTTAGCATTTGATCATGACATGGTAGGGTTAATGCAACATTGTCAAAATCCTCTGCTGTTCTAAAATCTAATTTAAGCATAGTGACTTGTTTGTTTTTTAAATGTGACATTGTTTCAGTTGCGCTCAGTTTTTACTCCTCTGTGTGACAGGTGGAGGTCCAAGGCAGTGAGCCATATCCCAGCAACCCAAGCAACAGGACTCATTACAGGCTTCAGGTAACTTGCTTCATCTGTTGCCATAGGCAGAAGCAGTATGCATGTTGTTATTTTAATACTTGATGGAGACTCCTTGAAATCTTATCGGATAGTTCAGGTGATTTAAAACTTCTACATATTAAGTTGGTTGTTTGATGTCTTGAGCTGTTGAACGACCAGAAATCAAGCATATAAAAACTTAATCTGTTTCACGTGCAGAAGATTATCGTCCAAACCCCCTTTTCTACTGATTGAAAAACCCGCTAAGCATTTACACCCTGGTCAAATGACTACAGTAGACGCGGTTATTTATCGGCACTGATGCACCCGGGTGAGCACACTAATTTTCATCTTTCAGAGTACAGATGTAGACAGACCTGTCACCTGCCCGGCACTGTGCTGTTAAACCAGAAACAGTGGCTACACCTACCCCTCAGAGTGAGGTACAGCCCCAAAATAAGTTTTAAAAACACACAATCGCAGATCGAATGCGTCTCACACGGCGGCTCAGACATTTTTACTGGAGCATCAACCCGGGTATGAGACCTGAAAGTTTGAAAGGCAGGTAGCAGCTCACTCTTCCCCCACTGCATCTGTCTGTGTGCTCTGCTAGTGCATGTGAAGACTTTGCTCCTTTCAGTTGTGTGTCTCCTCAGTCTGAACAGAAAGTGGCAGTGGAAAAGGGTCAATCGGTCTTTATTAGCAGGTATAAGCCCGCTAATTTGGGTGGAAAAGTGTATTTGTATTCTGTACATGCACACTCCGAATCAAATTAACATGGCGATACCAATGCAAGAAGAAGAGCTGCTTTATCTGCTGTACTTATTCTTTTAAAGATGAAGTGAAAACATGAAGGTAGTGGCGGACGTCACACAACCTCTCTTCAAACCCAGCATCCATGATTGCTTTCCAGTTCACGCACAACTGATACTCTGGTGGCGTAGCGGCCGTGCAGTCATAACAAATTGGTGGATACGCAAATTTCTGCACCACAGTCTCATGGACGCCCTCGGATGACCATCGGATGAAATTTACATCACCTAGAACCTTGTGTACCTGTGATGCCAGCAGCTCTCCCTTTTACACATGTTGATCTGGCTCTGTAACTACCTGTCCTGTCAGCTTAAAGGAGTAACAACAATGCCCCCCCATTCCATGCTCATATTTTTTCTACAGAACGGGGCAGAAAAAAAGCACAACATTCCCACTTTGAACAGGCTGTATAAAATGGGCTGATGTCTGAGCTGTCCTTTGTAGTTTGGCTGGAGTTGCCCTGTTAATAACTAGCAAAGAATGAACTTGAAGTTGTGGGTAACTGGGTCAACTGTATTTTCAAAATGCAATATATTGTATGTCATCGTGTGTAATTTGCTGTCTCTTTTGATTGTGTTCTAGGAGCGCCAAGGACGAGTCAAGTAACAGTCAGTGCTTTGGTCAAAAGACTGCAATGGCCCCCCTCAAGCCCTGTCCACCCCATTACATCATTAAATCCAGATCTCTTAAGAAATTCTAATAGGGGTGAAGAATTAACCAAGGACAAAAAAACTAAATGAAGACTTTCTTGATTTCTTTTGACTTTAAAGACTTACTTCGAACTTGTAGTAAAAAGAAAAGGAAACGATTATTCATAGGACTACAACTAAATGCATAGCATCCTTAGGTGAAATCTTTTTTGCCCCACCCCATTCCACTACATATGCTTTTTCCCCCTGTATGCTGCTTTTTCCTTTTTTCCTTTTTTTTTTTTTTTTTTTTTTTTTTTTTTAAATGAAAGGATCCTCTGTTTTTATGGTTCAAGAGCAAGTCTTTAATTCTCTCACAAACACACAAATCCAATAGAAATTTGTAGTGTTGGCTTATAATAGTGTCCCAAAGTCAAGAATGGGCAGTTTGTCTCATTTTCTTTGTAACCCCCCCCCCTTTCCCCCATCCCCCCATCCCCCTGTCTTCTAAGGATGCTCAACTCTTCAACCAGGACCCAGTGGAGTTTTCCCTCAGTGGATTTTCATCATAGACGGGTGTCAGCTATGCTCACTCCAGAATCTGTTTCATACATGCTTTCCATGTTTTTGGTTAAGAGGACTGCAGATGTTCAGGATGGCCCTCTATTTTGTTTTTGCATGTACCAGATGGAGTGTGTGTGTGTGTGCGTGCGTGTGTGCGTGCGTGCGTGTGTGCGTGCGTGCGCATGTGTGTGGGTGGAAGGTAGGGTCTGGAAGATCTGGAGAGGAAGAGCAGGGAAAGGGGTCAAGAGTTTGAAAGCAGAAGAAATGTTAAGTTGATGAGCCTTGCTTGGTGTATAATTTTATGGTCTAAAAAAATGGGGCCCTCTGTTAACAGTCTTCGTTGGATTTATTTACATTCTTTTTCGTTATCTTGGACAAGTTAATTCATCTTTGCTATGGGCTGCTTTCTTGTTTCTTTCTTTTTTTTTCTCCTCCCCCCGTTTTCTAAAGACAGTGATGCGAGTGGCCTTGCCCCCACTCTTTCTATTAATCAGTTCAAAAGTAATAAATGTGGTATATTCAGCAGAACTGGTGTGCATTCCCCTTGTTTGACTCTGTAAAGCAATTTTGTCATGCAGTAAGTCTGTGCTTTCTTTTCATCTGTTTTTCTTTTTCCTGATGGGTATATGAATGAATGTTTTTCTGCTAACCTTCATACTCAACCCGTCCACCCCTCATGCTGACTTCCAGTTATCACCACTGTACCCTGCATTTCTTTCCTCTCTACTTCCAAACCTGCCTTGTTCTCCACACTCTCACCTTCCTGTTTCTGACTGCTCAGCCAACTGTGCATACTATAATATCACAAGCAGCTTCCACCATTTTCAGAATGTCATTGTTGGTGAGTAAAAAAAAAAAAAAAAAAAACAAACAAAAAAAAAACGCAAGGTCCTCTTTCAGAACTACTGGCTTTTATTTGTGGCATAATAAAGATGCTCCACAAAGTCATGTGTGGGTTTCCCTCATCATTAGTTTTTTTTTTTTTGTTTGTTTTTTTTCCTGTAGTCACGTGGGCGGCCAGTTGTACCTGTTTATTTATGTTGTATGGTTTTCCTAACAGCAGGTGGAACAATACGTGTTGGCATCTGCTAAACGAGTAAGGCTTTTTTTTAATTTATTTATATATATATATATACCATCCTGTATTTCATTTCTTTTGTGGCAATCCACCAATGTGATGTAGCCCTCGAAGATTTGTGCAAGGCATTTTTGCCTGAAAGACTAAAAGGTGTTTTAAGGTAACTTGGGCTAAAGCTCAATTGGCCTATCGCCTACGAGTGAGTGATTTCAGAGCAAATCCGTGCATGAAAGGTAAGCAGTGTGAATAACTTGACATGGTTGACTTGGAGCTGAAGTTGTCAAAATGTTTACCCTGTGTCTCTTACCTGCGTGTGTTCAAATGATGGGGAAATGATGTGCAATCCGCCATTTTCTCTCTTCGCCATTGTGACTGTAACGTAACGGCCACAAGAGGGCGACATAGCATTATTTATTGCTATTCATTTTCCAGAAGACAGTCTTCCTCGGTTGGGTTAACGGGTCTCGGCGATAAGCATGGATGCATTACATTCGGTCTGAATATGGGTTTTTTTGTTTGTTTTTTTAATTTGATGGTTTGTTTTGTTTTTGAAACACGGCGTTTACCACCAACAGTTCAAACAGTCGCACATAAATGTTTGGCAGGCTATAAAAAATTCAATTAATGGTTAGTGCCATGTTGTCCTATATTCTTGAGATTTGATGGCTGTACGTGGCCTATAATGCAGACGATAGGCTATTAAAACAGGGGGCAACACATTTACTAAATTTCCTAAAATTACAACCCATACACCAAATAAACTGGTGAACCTACCACCAAAATTAACAGCCTTCTTCTAGCCTTTTTGACAGGAACTTATCTAGATAAAAAGTAAAGATTTCTTTGTTATATATAAATCATATTAGCATGATCTACATAAAAAACCCCTGCTGTGTTAAGCTGTATGTCCAAATTTTAAGGTTAGGTTACAGCCTCTGAATTTAGCTAAGATTTATAGCCTCAGTATAATGTGCTCTTCTGACTTTTTTAATTCACATAAAATGTGGATAGGCTGTACAGATGAAGCACTGCCCCAAGGGGTGGTTCACGTTATTTAAAAAAAAAAAGTATAAATTATGACTGCCCCTGAGTATGTACACAATAAGCACAACCTTCAACAATGGCCTCAGTAATAATAATAATAATTTACAAATAGAATCAAACTTCGAAACACCTAATTTTCGAAACTTAGGCTGGAGATAGACCTATACCAGTGCTCAAAGTGGGGACAGCATCTTGGGACTGAAGGGCAGGTTCTTAGGAAGAGAGGACCTCTGTGTGTGCGTGTGTGTGTGTTTGAGTGTTTGAGTGTCGGGTGTCGAGAGGGGGGTTGACGGCACGTGTCGTGTCTGCGTTGTGGGTGCGTGGCAAACACGCTGCCTCGAGGGGATCTCCTGTGACCCTTATCCGCGCGTCTCTGGGGACGCCTTTTAGCCCCTCCTGGGATGCAAATGAACGGCCATAAAAGAAGAGAGGCAGATACAGCCACCGAGACGATGAAGGAGAAGAAAGGGAAATGGGACCGTGGGGAGAAAGTGGAGGGGGGGGGGGGGGGGGGGGGGGGGGGGGGGGTGTAGAAGGCGAAGAGGAGGAGGGGAGGAGGTCAGCACTCACACACATCTTAGAGCGCATGAAGCTAAATGGATGGAGGAGATGGAGAAAACGAAAATAAGTTTTTCCTGCAGTGGTTAGAGGAGAAATTCCTCTCCTTCTGATGACTGTTTTGTTGTGTGTGTGTGTGTGTGTGTGTGTGTGTGCGCGCGCGCGCGCGCGTGTGTGTGCGCGTGTGTGTGTGTGTGGGTGTGCGCGTTTGCGTGCGTGAGAGCGTGCGTGCGTATGTGTGTTGTAGGACTTGCTTTTTTTTTCATGTGCAGAATCTCGACACTATTAACTAAATACATAAGAGGCACTTGAATTATCACCAGTCAGTCTCCCTTCTCTGACTTCACCGGGCTGTAATGAATTCAGACAAAAATTTAAAAGAATATATTCAGAAAATGCACAATAACAATTCACTGGTTCTCATGTTTTTACATCGATTCATTTAAGCGATTATAAAGACTATTCCTTGGTTAAACTCTGACCCTGCATTATATATGGCATAATATTTCAAATATTGTCTGTTGTATTTTGTCTGATAGAAACTATCGTTTAGGTAAGAGAGCCTCGCAGTAAACGTGTTGTGTCTGTGGGTTCATATTGCACTGCAAGGTCATGGTTCTGCTTTATTTTCCCTCATTACCATGAGGCATCCATCTCTTTCTTCCATTAGTGACGCTTCACCATGTCGCCAACCCGACCTCTATTTACATGACTAAATTAGATTTCTTCTCTTTTCGTGTGTTTTGTTTCGAATCGAGAAGCCTGCATTTAATATATAAAAGAAGAAATATGCAGCCTACTGAAGCTAAAAGGAAAAAAAAATAGATAATGGATCTGGACTGTTTTATTTTATTAGAAAATTAATAAATACATTTATGTTCATGGACCTATATTAGTTGCCAGTTTCAGTCACTGTATCACATTTAACTTAGATTATTTGATAAAAGATGTTAAAATAAGTTGTTATTTTTAATTAACATGAACAATAAAATATCCCCTCTCCATGGCCTGTAATTTTACACCTGTCATCAATGTCTCAGCTTTATTTTTCATCATAACTGAAAGCAGTAGCAGCAACAACAAAAAAAAAACGTCATGCTGATGAATGTTTTTATCATGTGAGGGGATCTATATGTGGTCACCTGCTCTCCATCGCCAGGGGTCCTGCACTGTTGACATATTGAGTATTACCCCCTCATTTCTTCTAGTGTCCCAATTCTATTGAGAGTTTGGGAAATGCATAATGTGTAGACAGGCGCAGGGGCCTGAAAACAGTTGATGACCTCTGTCTCAACATATGTGGCACACTTGCCCTCTGCACGCTCTAATTGTGTGGAGATGACAGGCAATAATTAAATGTCACCCACTGCTATATAAAAATATAGAGAAGCATGCTGGTCTAATATAGATGCAGGATGTATTGTAGGAAAAAAAAACCCAATTTGCATTTGTGTGTTCCATATAATCTCGGGTTTACAATTTTTTTTAACTGCTTAGCTATGATGCATGATTGTTTTCGTGGTGATTTTGAAAAATATAAAGTCATATTCTGACAATACGAAAGCCTGAAGAAACCGAGAATTACAGATACAGCAGTATGTAAAATAGATGGTAAAGAATCTCTACGAAAATCCACAATTTCTTTCTTTCTTTTTTTTTTTTTTTTTGCGTATTCCGCCTCCGTCATCTGAGATGTAGGTCAACTCTCATCTCTATCGCCTACAGCAGTTTACAGCTGGAATCATTTGATGCAGCTCTGTGATTATAGGAGTAGAAATGAAGCTCATTATTTAAATGACTTGATGTGCTGTGGGCCTTTTTACTTTGAAAAGAAAAACTAGAATTGTACAAACAGAAATGCAGTCCATGAAATGACTTCTTTATTGAGACTTTTTTTGCAGAACAAAAAGAACACAAACAAAGGCAAAGTAATATTGAAAACTATAATTTTAAAGCGCAGAGCTGTATTTGCAGAGTATGGACGGTCATGGAAATGAGAGAAATCAGCATGCGTGAGAATGATTCAGGAGGTTGTTGCCTTTTATGATAGGCCTACTGGCAGAAGTGAGTAAAAACAATAATTTTTCTACAGTGCAGCACATCATGCTCTTATAGCATTCTCGACCTGTTTTTCCTCCTTCCTCTCTCATAGGGCAAGTGTACGCTCATGCGTAAACCCACAGACCTTTGAAGTGGCCCTCTGTCACCACATGGCAAATCC